TTGGAGAGTTCAGAGAAGCAGCCAGATTTTAGGTGGTGGATTCAGACTAAAGCAGAATTCCCAACCTCTTGGAGATTTGCCCCACTACTTAGGTGATAGTTTGCACGATCATTAATTTGTTTATCACAGACATCTCAATGGTGCCTGCCAGTGGGAGTGCTGTACACGGTTCTTGCCTGGGGTGGAAAGGAGAACGTTGATTCCCTTCAGATTTTGGTGATTTGGTTAAAAAAATGTATCAGGATAATGAAAAGCCCAAAGAGGAGCCGTTAGAGGTTATTCTTGCATTAATGATGCCATCTACGCAGCCTCTGGTGCAACCTGAGGGCCTGAGCAGGGAGAACCAAAATACTGTGTATGGAGACTTAGCAAACGCTACACACTCTGTTTCCAGCGGAAGGAGCTGTCTGACGCTCCACCCCACCCCACCCCCCAGCTTTGATTTTTTTTTTTTTTTAAACCAGTGTTATTTACTGTCTCCCAGGAAAGCCTTGGATAATGAAATAGTCGGATTCCTCCAGCTGTTACCCCCATTACCCATCCACCATGCTGCGGTCTCTGTATTCCCACCTGCCACTGAAAATGGGCGGCGCGGTTAATGTGTTCTGGCTGGGTAAACAGTGAAACTGAACATATGCGAATGTTTGAACTCCCCTAGCGCCTGCAGTGTTACCGTTTGTTCAAGGGAGACGTGTCTGCACAATTACCCAGGCCTGGACGCTGATGCCGTTGCAGACAGGAGAACTCAGGTAGCGGTGGTTGGCTGTATCCATCGGAGGAGGGCCTGGATCCCTGACTTGTGTCTCACATTATGGGGGCTCATTGCTGTGTGACTTGTATCCAGCCCGGAGGTTTCCTAGGGGGAATGTTTATCTCATTGTTCTCTTCACCCCACCCGGAGTAGTGTTTGTTTTAAAATGATTGTCCGTTAGGCGGGGATGTCTACACTGCGATCTCAGAGCCCGGGGCAGCTCACTGAGGTTCGTGGGGCTCAGGCTGCGGGACGATAAAATGGCAGTGTAGATATTTGGGCTCACCTGGAGCCTGGGCTCTGAGACCTCGTGAGAGGGGAGGGCTCCAGCCCGAGCATCTACACTGCAAATGTATACCCCCATAGCCTGATCCCCGGGAGCCCGTCAGCTGAGCCAGGCCAGCCGTGGGTCTTGTATTGTAGTGTCACGGAGTGTCCCATTGATCAGTCTTTGGGGCAGAATAAATCGAGGCCCCAGTTTGTGTGTCTCTGTAACACAGACGAGGACCATGTGAGGTTTTGTCCCCTCCTAGTAGTCGGTTCGCACATGCGGTTTATGAGTCTACTGCTGTTTCCACCGAATAGCTCTGCAATGCTAAAATCATGAGATTCTCCTGCTTGTGCCAAAGGTTGTGGGTTTGAGGCCTGCTGTTGGCCCAAGCGGGACTGGTATCGCGCTGTACCGTATGTTTATTTAGTTCATGATGTTCTGCAGAGACCATCTCACTGCTGGGTTGGATTTAATTTAGATTAGACAGGATAACTGTGCAGAACTGGACGCCACGTTCTACTGCAGTACTGGAGAACAGCGCCCTGCCAAAAGCACGGCGAATGGGCCCATGTGACTTGATGATGAATTGAGACCAGTGGCTACTCTGAGCCAGAACCATGCAATGGACTTTCCCCCCCACTCCTCATTCCCGAAATCCCTTCCTTGGCTCTTTGGGAAGGGATACACCCAAGCAGGTCTGGGAAGAGAACCCCTCTCCCGGGCCCCGATGGCAGTAGGAGTTGGAGGTTAAAGAAGCGCCTCTCTTGATCAAGCCCCAGTAGCGAGTGTTCTCCAAGCTGTGCCGGGAGAAGTGATTGAAAAAAAACGTTGTCATTAAGTCATCTAGTCTAGCCCTCAATGGCCAGTTCCCTTCAGCACCTCTGTACTGTGGCAATGGCTTGAAACGGTTGTGCTAGGCGGCTGTATGACTGGTTGATCGTTTATTAGGCACCTACCCATTCAATGGTGGTGTGTGTGAACCGGGCGGAAATTTTGCAGGGACGTATTAATAGAGAAACCCCAGAATTAAATGAAATAGAAAAAGTATTGGAAGCTTCCAACACAGTATTCAGCCAAAAATTATCTGAGATTTATTTCATATATACAACGAATATACTCCATTTATATACAGTGTGTACCCACCACTGTCTCCTTTTACTGCTATAGAGCTCACTCTCTTATATTTAATAGGGCATGATTTTAAAGACAGCGCCTCAACCCCCCCGCCATAAGTAACATTAAAACTCCATGACACTACGTAATACAAGGGACTATCTAAACATCTCGTAGTTCGTAAAACAGATTCAGGAACCAGCGCCAAAGACAAGTAAGGCTGATGAGGATTTCATGGCTCCGTTATTTCCCACGGATGGAAGGGGCGGTCAGGAGTTCGTGGGGGGACGACTGGTTGGACAGCGTGCTGATGTTCTGCAGCCTTTGGGGGCTTGATAACTGCAGGTCAACAGTGATGAGCATGCTAGCTGGCCTCAGCCTACGTCCCTCATTGGCTTTTGACCACATGTCCTTGCCGTTTGACACCATCTGATATTTGAAAGGGTCTCTGGCTAGAAGGTCAGGGGGGCTGGAACAATTTGTATAGTGGGGGTGTGGAGAGCCATTGAACCAAGCTGTAAATCCTGTATATAATGGAAACCGCTTCAAGCCAGGGGGTGCAGTAGCACCCCTGCCCCCCTCATTCCAGCACCTATGTAGAAGGTAGGGCTGGGATGGTGCGACGAGATACTGAGATGCAGTGACTGAGGTCTGTGTGCTTTGATGGCTGGAATTATAGAAATCAGAGATGAACAAAAATTGATTAGATTGCATAGGCCATCCCCAAAAAACAGAGGGAACGGCACGCTGGGATCGCGGTGCTCTGGCAGAGCTGTCTGGCAGAACCTCCCACGGTGCCTGTTTGTACTATGCCGCCGATAATTTGCAGCCTAGTAGGCAGAAAACGGGTAAAGGATGGGGGTAAGATGGAAGACTGACTGCGTGGGGAAGTTAGCAAAGGCTACCAAGCCCAAGACTTTTTCTTCCTGGCCCTATCTGGTGAACTCATCGTTGAGAAGAGGACTGGGTTTTCTAATGCAACCCACTGTTCAGGGTGTGTTATGTATGTGCCCGAATTACCGAGATGAGTCGGCGACATCGCCCACCTGGGAGAGACAGGACTTTAGCTCAACGTGTAGCAATGCAGGCCTGGAGTGGTACAAGTTCTGTGTTCAGCCCTTTATAGGGACCAAGATGATGGTGGTTACATTGTGGATAACTCCTAACACCATAAAAGAAGAAGTCTAAAACAGAATCAAAGACTAAATCTCAGGGACAATTTAGTAGCTCGACATTAGCCGTAGTACCCCTCTGGGGCACAGGAGGGAGCTCTGAGATTATCACAGAAGGTCCCTTGTGGCACATTTGCAGAGATGTTATAGGGTGACTAACCCTTAACACAAGACTCTTGAACTTCACCCCTTTCAGTCCTGGATCTCAGGCACCTTTGTCCTCTCTCCTCCTCCCCTGGATGTTCAGTGCACCCACCCCTGCCCCCAGCCTACTTTCCGAGGACACTTTTCACACGTGCCTATGGCTCCTCCAGCAGCAAACAGCGCAATAGCTAGATCCCTGTTTGTCGTTGCAATATTCCAGCGAGGTCTAGGGTTGCCAACTCTCCAGGACTGTCCTGGAGTCTCCAGGAATTAAAGATTCATCTTTAATTAAAAGATTATGTCATGTGATGAAACCTCCAGGAATACGTCCAACCAAAATTGGCAACCTTAGCCAGGTCTCATACCTACCAACCAGCCTGTCCTCTCACATGGTCACATCTTTTCTATGCCCCTCCCCCATAAATTTCAACCCCCTCCCCCCCGCTGTGATGCCATAAAGCAGAAGTCCCTACTGTTGTCTCTGGACCCTGGGGCCTGATCACCACTGAGGGGCTTAGTACCTGTGGTCGTAGCATCTGAATACCATCTCTTCCATAGTCATTCGGTATTTCCCCTTTCTCCAGCCTCTGCATCCCCCATCAGAGCCTTTTAGATCTCTCCTCATTTGTAATCTCTCCAACCCCAGCCCCTGTATATACCCTGACCTTGAAGCCCTCACTCCATCCAGGCCAGAAGGGTTAAACCAGCCCCCTTTCAGGAACCCTCAGTGCTACTGCATAGCCGGTCAGAGTCGTCGTTTATTGAATGATGCCAAACGGTACCTCCCCCGTCGGAGCAGTGTGCATCATACCTGCGTGGTTCTCCCCACCCCAGTGCACTGAACCGGCGGCCTCTGGCACAGCAAAGCAGGGAACTGGCTCCACAAATCCTACTGCAGCCTCATTGAAATGCACCACTGGCATGAACACACTGACCTCCGAGAGGATGAACTCCCTTGACATGAGCCAAGCCACGAAGGTCTGAACTCTGCTAAACAAGCCACCGTCTAAGGTCACCTGGATACATTCCCAATTTCACTGCTGCTCCACAGATCGGCTGGGGCTAAGCAGCCAACCTGAAAGCTGCCAATGAGTCGATTGTTCCCCAACCCTCTCCCTTCCTTCCAGAAAGCCTCCCCATTGCTAGCCGGGACCACTGGACACAAGAAGACTGAGGAGTTGCCCTGGTTTCTTTTGCTTTGTGGCTGCCCACTCTCAAAAGTCTCCTGTGCCAGCAACCAGCAACTTCCAGCTGAAGGGGACAAATGGATACAATTTCCCTTGGAACACACACCAATGCATGCAGCTACCTAACTATCCATAGGAGATAGCGTAGCAAAGTGAAACCGCTGAACTTAAAGGAGTGAGAGAAAATCTCTACACTACAGGGACTATACCAGCATAGGTGATAGAACTAGGAGAGTGTGTGTGTGTGTGTGTGTGTGTGTGTGTGTTGGGGGGGTGGGGGTACTGCAGCACTCCCTGGCTTGAAGTGATTTCCATTATATCCAGGGTTTACAATTTGGTTCAATGGCTCTCAGCACCCCCACTATACAAAATGTTTCAGCCCCCTTGTATACCAGCACAGCTACGTCAGCATAACTCTGTAGTGTAGACACAGCCTACACTGACAGAACTCCACCTCCCCGAATGATGGCAGCTATGTTGACTGATGCCTTCTTCTGTTGAGCTGTTGCTACACTGGGACTAGGTCGACATAGCTACGTCGGTCAGGTGAGTGGATTTTTCACCCCCCGATCGCCGTCGCTATGTTGACCAAGTCAGAGGCAGAGAGCAGAATTGAACCAGCATGCACTGGGCCTAATTCTACCCCGTGCAACAAAATGCATATAATGCCTATAACAAACAGATTACATGTCAGATTTCATTGCTTCCTTGCACCCTGCGCCTTGCCAGGACTCTGCAGCCTGGATTCCAGAACCAGGTCTCCACTGGACCCATTGGCAAACAGTCATTTTATTGCCAAAGGACAAGGTGCAGTGAGTGTCGTCTCTCGGACTCTTCCTCGCGGGCCCACGGGACGTGTCTCTGGCTGGGCCACGCGGGAGTGTCTAGGTTCCGTGTCGTCCTTCGATGGCCTGCCGTCTGAAGTACCGGATGGCAGAGAGGGTGCCGACGTTTGCCAGTAACACTGGAAAAGACCCCAACACATTTCAAGAATGAATCTAGGATTATTCCAAAGCCTTAGTTTCAGGGCTAGTCTGAGCAAAACAGTTTTCTGGAGCAGAGTTTCACAACATGAATCTCTGCATCTGATTGCCTTTTTGCTGCAGAGCAACCATGGGTCGTTCATGCTGGTGTCTCTCCTTGTCACAGCTAATGAATAATTTCTCTGCACAACAGTGGCACTTTTCATCTCCGGATTGCAGAGCACGTTGCAAAAAATGAATGAATTTAGCCTCACAAACCCCCTTGATGGGGAAACTGAGGAACAGAACAGAGCGGTGACTCACCCAAGGGACACAGGTGTTGGCCCCACTGCACAGGGGTGAATTTCAACCCTAGTGAGTTAGTGGTGGAGGTTGGCATGGAACCCCTGGACTCCTGATTTCTCACCCTCTGCTCTAACCACCTGGCGGCAACGTTCCCAACTAATTAACCCTTTGGGTGCTGGTGTCCAGTTCCACCTCTCTGTGCCGGCAGATCACAGCACTGTCCGTCCTTTCCAACACCAGCATTTCACGGGGAGCACGGCATGCCCAGGCTAGCACTGGAGGCACATGTTGCCCCATGCATGTTTTGACACCTTAGGGAACACTGACCAGGTTAAGCGATAAGACATGATAGGATGTGGTGATATTGCCACTGTCCGGATACAGGACAGGATTAATCAGAACTAAAGGAATTCTCCTACTGCTTCAAACTATAATTAAAGCCAGCAGCAGCTATGCTGGAGTAAAAGCAGTGAGAGATAGGAATCTCCCCCTTCCTGGGTGAGAGAACCCTAGAAACAGCCGGTGACGGACAGAACATTTCAGAAAGCAGGAAGAGGCCCTTCCGTAGTAGGGAGAGATTCTGCTCCAACCTGTACGATCTGCCTAGCGGGAGGATGTAAGCTTCCAACATTATCTAAAGTTAAATCCTCCCCACCCCTCAAATCCCCCATGCATCTCCCCCTCCCCTTTATGTAAAGCGCTTCTCCTCTCCCACATGGTCATCCTACCTACCAGTCTTCCATGCGTCCGGAGCCTGCAGATCTGACGTCTTCACGGCCCAGGATGCAAAGGCAACGAAGACCAGGCACATGTCCTCCTGCGTGAGAGCTAGGGGAGGGCGGGGCCTTTCTGCGGGAAGAACAACCTGAAACTAAGGGTCAAGCGATACTAATAATACTCCTGTTACATTGGTCATTTCAGCCAGAAGTCTTTCTGGTATTTAAGCCTTACATTCATTGGCTTTTTCACCAATCCCCTGCTAAGTTTTTCAAAAGGAAAAGAGAAAGGATCTTTTTGCAATGTTGTACAGCGTTCCTCTCCCTACAGAATCGGCCACGAGCCCCTTCTTCTTCTAATTTTTGGAGAACATGGGTCCAATTCTGGAAGACACTTCCCCATAATCTTTTCACTCTACCCAGTTTTAAACAGTTCACCCGGTTTTCAGACTTTGTGGCCAAGCTTAAGAGTTTGAAAGTAGCTTTTAATTTGTGTAGCGAAGGGACATGCCACTGTGCCAACTGGGAACTTAGCAGGTCTATCTAGCCAAGTTATCTAGCCCCATTTACCATGGGATATGTGCGACTCACAGTCTTTAATGGATTTATCCTCACAACACCCCTCTGAGGTTAGGAAGTGTCATTATACCCATTTTACAACCGGAGAACTGAGGCACAGGGAGACTAAGGGTATGTCTACACTACACACTAAGTCCAGGCTCTGACTCCAGTGGGAACGCAAGGCCCCCTTCTCTCCACACACAAATCACTCTGACTTGGTTCCGGGAGCGCTCAGCACCCAGTTCCCAGGATTTTGCTTTTGGGGGCAGGGGGCGGAGCCTGCTGTGACTCAGGCCTGTTGTGTTGCAGGGTGGACACAGCTCAGGGTACACACCTGAGTCAGAAGGTCTGTGTAGTGCAGTGTGGACTTAGAAACACTGAGTCTGGGTCCCAAGGCCCTGGGTTGACAATGCAGTGTAGACATACCTTAAGTGACTTGCCCAAGGCCATACAAGAAGTCTGTGGCGGAGCAGGGGACTGAACCCAGGTCTCCTGAGTTGCAGGCTAGTACCCTAACCACCAGGCAAGCTTTGAGAAGCGGGTGGTCCAGCAGAGCCACTGGCGTGGGGAGTCAGGGGAGACCTGGCTGTGCTGTGTGACCCACAGAGCGGTGGTTTCCCCATCTGTACAGCAGGGTTCATGAGAAGTACCCACCCTTGTAAAGTGCTTTGAGATCCATGGATGAAAAGCAACATGGAAGAGGACTAAGCCTGGTTATTAGTTCTATGAGAAGCCTCCACGCCCCCTGCACTCCATCATGGCCATTCGGAGTCTCTGGGCTGCTCTCCAGGGCGTATGGCAGACACCGCTTGGGATCTCTCACTCTGATGGCGTCCCCAGGCTAGCAACCTTCGAGGCATGTTGCAAGAGGTTTGGTCTGTTTGCTTGTTTGATCAGGTTTTTAATTAAAGCCAGTTTTATTAATTAGTTACTACCAAGGCAAAGGGTCTTTTCTCGGGGCAGATAAAGAGGCAGCGCTTTGCTGAGTCACCCATTGGGAGGGCTCAGGCCTTATTTGTTTGTTTTTAATATTAACCGGGAGGCACCATGGCTTTAAGCCCAGTATAAACTTTTAAATAAAGACGGTGGCTGTCCTAATGGGTCACATTTCCTCTCCTTCTATTCCCAGCCGCTCTCTAAAACCTCTCGCACCTACTCACAGTCATAAGCAACGCCTGAGTAACCTTTAGAGGCTCCAGCGGGTGCTTATTAAATTAGCCCTGGTTCTAATGTTCTCCTCGTCTGTTTCTGCACGGAAGGTCCCAGTTTGCCTTTCTCTCCTGCCAACATTGTGCCTGTCACATCCCAGGCACACCGGCTCAGCAACCATCGCGCTAGCTTGGTACAGACAGCGTTCCTGGCCATTGACCCCTCAAACAGAAATCCAGCTTCAAGCTTCCCCAGTTCACCTTCGTGAATTGGCACGCAGCAAAGGCGGATTCTGAACTCTGGTGGGCCCTGTCCACAGTTGGGTTTAAACACACTTGTTGCCAGCAGAGTTCTAGCTTGCTTTCCCTGACCACTGTGGAGAAGGACAGATCAGTTGTCACCAGTCTTTACACATAGTCTTCCTTCCAACTCCTTTTTCTTAGTGTGTGAACAAGTTTTTAGTCTTGGAAGAAATGCTTGTGGCGGTGTTAGTTTGGGTTGCACACAGTTCTGTGTACAGGGAGGCAGGAGAGTTTGCTTTTCTTTCTGCTCTGGGCTCTGACTAGAGTCAGTTCTGGAGGGATGGTTGCCCCCGGGGAGCTGGGCACTGGTGTTGGGCTGAAGGGATTGCCCGCATACTGTTTGTGACCACCTCTGCTCCAGGACTGGTGGATGTGCATTAATAAAGCAAGTTACGCACAGCATATCCCCAGATTCCACGTTACTGAGTTCTCCTTCCCTGGGAAGCTGACTTGCAAGATGCTAACAACTGCTACTGCTCAGCAGAGGAATACGCTAATGGTGGGAGAAGGGGCAACATCCTAAAGCAGTTTGGTTTTGTAATGCCCATGGGATCAGCTCCCAAACAGCCCTGCCAAAGTCCAAGGCTGTTGGGCAGTGAGGGAACGTGGTTAGTGCATGATTTGGGTCTCACTATGCATGACCAAGCTATGCCTTAACCATGCCAAGGGATTCTTGGGTTGCAAGCGTATCCTCCAGCATGTTTGATGATGGGACCACAGGCTAACGAAGGGGATGGAACCGTGTGATTAGCATGATTCACAGAGCAAAGAACAACAGGGACAGCGGCACTATCTCTGGGCAGCAACATCAGGAACGTCAGTGTGTTGGTGCCAGGGGGTAGAGGGCTGGTTCTGGGCTCTGGAGAAACTAGTGTAGCATCAGGGAATTCAGTGCTGTGCTGGGAGCTACAGGCAAACAGAAAACCCAGCACTGGGTCTGGGCTGTGGCCCCAGAGCAGCGTAGCGGCTGCAGATGGGGTTTGGGGCAGAGGCACTGGATAGTTCAGGGCCTGGGGAATCCAGCAATGTTTCTGGGCAGCAGCCCTATGGACACCACGGCTTCTGTTTCCTATTTAATCAGTGAGCCTGTTTCTACAAGGGAGCGCCATGTTTTTAAACCCTGGGGCAGCGAGAAGGGACCAGCCGGGGCCAGGATCAAACATTTACCTGCTAGTGCAGGGGCCATCCCTAAATCCTCTGGCTTCAGCTGGATTCTCCCGGGAGGCCTCAGCTGGAGAAGGGAGAGCCTCTTTATGGAACCTCGTGGGACCGGGACCCCGCGGTCGGAGGGGCTGCGTCTGACCAAGCGCATTGGCTTTTGCAGGAAGGATTTCAAAGCTGCCATGGCTTTTCTTGCCTCCAAGCCCGGCATGCGCAGGAAGATCCGCCCCCAGCTCCTCCTGCCTCTTGCTCCGTCCGTAAAGAAATGTTCATAAACCTCGGGGATGGAGATAACACCGCCGGGCTCTCCGGCTTTGGCCGAGCCCGGGTCCTCCCGGCTTTCGCACGATGAGGACGTTTGCTCCAGGGTGCTGATCCTGTCTGTCTCCACAAAGGTGTCTTTGCTGCCATTTTCTTCAGGTTCGTTAAAGAAATATTCATACATCTCAGGCCCGTACATTTCAGGCACCTCCTGCTCCTTCTCGCAGGGAGACATGGGCGTTTTCGCCACCCCACCCAAGCTGTTCATCTCCCCCCCCTGCTCTTGGGCGTCACAGAAAAAATAGTCATACATCTCCGGCCAGGTCAGGGCAGGTATGGCCCCCTCCTGAGAGTCCTCAGCTGCTGAATGATGAGGAAACAGCCCTCCTAGGAGCCCAGATCTCTGCCTTCCCTGGGCTCCATCTTCAGCATCCCCTCCAACTGCCATGGTGCTTCCAAGACGCAGGGGCTTCCCAGTGGTGCTCCTCCACTCCTCTCTCTGTGACGCAGTGGGTCTGCTGCTCTGATTCAACGACATGTTCTCATGGATTCCTAAATCAGTTGCTTGCTTTGGCCTTGCACGACTGGTCTTCTTCAGTTCCCCTGGGAAGGGCTGCACTGCAGGGCCTTTCACCGCCTTGCTCCTGGGAGCGTTGACGGCCTGACCCCCCAGTGCCAACCCTCGCCCCTCATCCCCCAGCATGCCACAGGTCAGGGTACCACCTCGCTGAGCTTCATCCTCACCCTCCAGCCCCCCAAGAGCTGGTTTGGCCACTATTCCCTCTCCTTTGCTCTCTCGCAGTAGGGCAGAGGAGGTTAAAAACTCCATAGTTAGAGTTGAGCTTTGCAGTGCCACGGCCCCGTGCGACGGTGTCACTATGGCTGTGAGCGTACCCTGGTGCTCACGGCTGTCACCCTGGTGCGCAGGCCTTCTGGGCTGCACGACATCCGGAGAGTCGCCAGGGGAACCCGGAGCAGTCAAGGCTTGACCGAGACCCAAACGCTCCCCTGGATTCTTCCCAGCAGGCCGGCTCTCCCCTGGTATTCTGGAACACGTTGGCTGCAGGGGCTCTGCAGATGGATTCTGGGAAATGTCACTGTTTGGGTCTGGCAGCCCAGGCTCTAAACAGAGAGACCAGTTCGCCTTTTCCCCCGCTGGCCTCTCTATCCCCCCTGAAGCAGCCAGCGCTGGGGAGCTCACATCCGCTGCATGAACTGGCCTTTCAGACTCTGCCTTCTCTGGGCTGCCTTGTAGATGCTCCCCTGGTAATGCCCCCTCCTGTGGAGCTCCTTCTGGCAGGTGATCGTGGGGTACTACGGCCAGACCCCCTCCTGCCTGTACAGCAAACGGGGCGGCCACTGCACGTTCTGCGGCCTGGCCCACTTCGTTGCGGGAGCTGTCCTGGGCCTGGAGCGGCTTCTCCATGGCATGGCTAGCTGGTCCGGCAAAGCCGGCCTCTGAGAAACAAGGCAGCTGCCTGTCCTGGGCGCTGGGCATCAGCGGAGTCTGCTGGGGGGATCTGGGCGTGTCGCTCTCACACAGAAACCTGCTGCCTGAGCCCAGATCCATTTCATCCTCGCTGCCCGACAGAACCTCCTCCAGGAACAGGTGCCCAGGGATGGGCCGGGGCGGGGCGGTCTCTCCGGGGACCCCATGTGGGGGGCAGGGTCCCGGGCCAGGAGCTGGCGTGCTGCCTGCCCTCACTGTGATCAGCCTGGCGGTGCGGGGGCTGCCGGCCTCGCCGTCCCCTTGCTCAATGTCACTGACGCCCAGCTCCTCCGCCGTGGCCAGGGCAGCCGGGATTAAGCTGCATTCTTCAGCAGCCGAGTAAAACTCCGCCCAGTCCCTGTCATTCAGTTGGATGCTGTACTGGAAATTCTCCATCTCTGCAGTGGCAAAGCAAGGGGAGGGGGGCCAGTGAGGACGAGGGCACCGGGGAGGGGCGCCCAGGTACCCACCGAGACGAGGCCACCAGGCCACTTGAGCCTTTTATCTTCAATTAACCCTTTCCCCTCCGGTTCCTTCACTATTCTGCTGTGCTGCTGCCATCCGCAGTCTCTTGCGGTTGAAACCAATGGGACGCTAGGACAGATCTTGGCCTCTCCATCAGCCTGGCAGGGGCCTCCTCCTCCTCCCATACATCAGCATGACAGGGGGCATCACCCCCCTAGACACATCTAATACCTACAGCAGCCAGGCAGCCGTTAAATAGTGGAGACAATCCTCGGCTTTAACGCATGTGAGCCTTAGTGCATCTGTGTTAGGATCAAATTATCTTACATGCCATGTAGCTCCATTTTGGGATTTTCTAATCTCGTCTGCATTAGCATAAGGGGGCACCCTGGGGAGTTAATAGAGCAATTGCAAGAAGCTGGAGGGGCACAGACGAATTTCTGTGCCTCTAGGGTGTTGCAGATTCTTACACTGTCTGGGCCATTGCTCAGTGGATCTGAGTGGATCTAATGTCCTTTCAGGTGCAGACTCCTCTGTGGATTGCACCTGCTCTTTCATGGCACGCCTTTCACCACACATTTTATCCCTTCTTTCTAAGTCGCCTGTACCTCCTTGACCAAGATCCTTGGCTGGTGTAACAGCTCCATTGACTTAAATTTACACCCGCTGAGGATTTGGCCACTTGCGCCTCCCTGGAGGCATGACGAGGTGCAACAATGCCACATAAACGCATTCAAGAAGCAGAGGTTTGCAAAGCCACAGCTGCCTGGCCCATTTCCTGGGGACAGCTTTTCCCCCCGAAGCGGTGGGGAAGCGAGTCAGGGGTCAGAGAGCAGCGAGACACAGCCAGCATGCAGAGCATGCGAACGCATCCTACCTGGGGAACAACTTAAGCTGGGGATGGAGCCAGGTGCAGAGTGGTGCAGCGAAATCCTCCCAGCGCAACATGGTGCCGTACCCTTGACGGGGACATTGAGAGCCAGACTTCAGAGCGGCTCCATTCACAGGCCAAAAATAGCCCCCAACTTGTCATGTGAACCGCCATACGTGCCAAGGGCTGTTCCATAAATAGCTTATGGGGGAGAGGCTCTGGGCTTGCCAGCCAATGGGTTTCCCTCTCACACACACAACAGGGTCCCTTGGCCACCCACAGACACATGGGGCCCTCAGGGTTGGAGTTACACCCATGTAAGTGAAGGCCACGCAGGGCACAGGTGCTGGGCATAGGGCACAGAACTCACAGAAAGAAGGCAGAGTTGCAAGGATGCTCCCAGAATGGCAGATGGACACATCCCATGACAATGACTGAGGCGAATAGCTTCGTAAGTTAGAGGAAGTGAACTGAGGTTGATTCTGTAGGATAAATGGTCCCAAGAATGATCAAATCCTCAGGCTTCAGGGCATGATCTGTCTATCTGGGGTATGTCTAAGGCACGTATCAGTGCTATCGAAGTGCAGATGGACATCGGATCACCTCACATGGTCAGGGACAAATGTCCTCCCCCAGCACACTATCGTACATGGTGGCAGCTCTGCAGTTCCTGGCCCTGGCCGCTGACAGAGACAGGGTGGCTGGATCAGACAGCCAAGATACACAAAAGGTAGGTGGGGAAGTGACTTGCCCAGGGCCACCCCGCAGGGCTGTGGCAGAGTGAGGGAGAGAACCTGGCTCTCCTGAGTCGCTCTGCGCGAAATCATGCTGCCTTCTGTTTCATACACACTATCTCCAGAGGTCTCTGCAGAGCACCGAGCCAGTAGCATGGGGAGCGTCCCTGCAAGTGCCGGAGCTTTTATTGGCCAATTCATAAGAACCAATGGTCCATCTAACCCAGCTGCTCCATGCAGCTTTGGCCATGTGCTCTTATATCCCCGGGGAGCAGGGTTATCCCAGGAGTGGTGGGATTCCAGACACCAGAGATGGGCGGCAGAGGCCCTGTTTGAATGCCATGCACCCTACATAGAGACCCCGCGGAAACTGAGAGCGAGTTCAGCACAAGCCTGGCTCGGGGAGTTTTTAACCCCACCTGGTTGACAGGCGTATGGCTCCAGAACACACAGAGATCCCAGACGTCCTGACACACCTCCCCAGGACGGAGGCACAGCTGCAAGCTGTGAGCAAACCGGGATTGACACACAGCCCCACTAGAAGTTCAGCCAGCTACTCCCTTTTCCTTCTGCTCTGACACTGTATATAGGGGGAAAGCGCCTTCTTGTGGTGCCGTGAGATCACTGCAGGCACACGGCGCCAGGCTGGGAGTTCACAGGATGCGAGGCTCTGAAACTGCTGCCAGGCAGGGCCCACTGTGGTGATGTAAACAGTGACCGGAATTTGCTTCCTTTCTCTGTTCTGTGGGCTGACGCACGCTGGGGGCTCGTCAAGCAGAGAAAATATGGAAGGAAGGAGGTCGACTGTCTTCTGTCCTTATCTTGTTTTTGATCTGGCTACACCCAACTCCTCCCACCCAGCCACCCACTCTCCCATAGTCCCAGAAGGGAAATTGATCCGCTTCCTTTTCTTGGCGACAGTAAACTTCCTTTTTCTGACTCCTCCAGCAGCCGGCGGTTCAGGCAGAGAACGCGTCGGACCATGCCTCGCAAACCACAGCGCAGAACATGAAAGGGAGAGGCGCAGCGAGGCGGAACTGAAAGCCAGACGTGGGCTGTCGGGCCACGTTGTCAGCGTCACACTGAAAGCCATAGCAGGAGCAGCCACACACTAAACCCAACAGGAACGGCACATGTTCATTTAGCTGTCCAGGGGAAGCCCACATGCCATCGGGGGAGGAGGGAATTATGCACTGACTAGCAGTTCTTTGGCTTCTCTATATAGGGTGACCAGACAGCAAATGTGAAAAATTGTGATGGGGGTGGGGGGTAATAGGAGCCTATATAAGAAAAAGACCCAAAAATCGGGACTGTCCCTATAAAATTGGGACATCTGGTCACCCTACCTCTATACCATGGTCATGAGAGAGCAAGGACAAGCCTCCCCAACCTGCTGCACTGTAAGCCACCTGCAGGCTGCAAAGGGGGCACCAGGTGACTCTCAAAGGCAACCCAATAGTTCTAGCCTTAACAGGATGGACCATAGTTCTTTCTGTATGAGACCCTGAAACCCCTCTACAGCAGTCAGCTCTTTTGGGCGGGGTAGGTCACCAATTAAATAAGCACAACCTGGCCCACGCCATAAGGGCTAGACAACTATGGATGATTGCAACGTATACTGTAATAGTGGCTCGACAATGCCATCTACTGAGCAAAGGGTGGGAGGACACAGTTCTCCCCAATAAAGCCCAGACTTGGGAATTGGGACTTTTGTATGAAGGACGTGATGTAAATAACTGTAACATAACCACGTAATTGGAGCTGGGACTGAAGTGAAACGGCAGCTCCAAACTCTCAGTCTGCCAGTGCAGGACGCAACGTGGGCCAAAGCCAGAACGAAGGGCACAGACAAATTATTCGCAGAGGAAAACTTAAAACTGCGGTGAGATTCCTTCCTTTCGTGTCAGTGACTCTCTAATCTCCCTCTCGAGATTCTGTATTTCTAGCATAAAATGATTTCCAACACTAAAATTGAGGGGGACACCAAAGCTGTGTTGACTGTAACTTTGGGGCTAGGAACAGTGATTTTTCTTCAAACAATGTACATTTGAGGGGTAGGCCCCTCACTCAATTTTTAGGGGCACTTGGAACCCAAGTCTGCCAGATTGGGATTGAACATGAGCACGATTATACGTGGGACCTTCAGAACTAAGGCTGTGAACCTCAACTCTAGGGCTAAAGCGCTAACGTTCCTAGCTGGAAGCTGTAGCATAGGCAGCGTGTCTCCCTGTGCATCAGGCACAGAAGGGGATGCTTAACACACACTGAACAGTGGGTTAATTTGCACTGAAACTCAGAGTCAAATTCAGCTGAAACCACCAGTCTGGTTTTGCTGGTTTGGGGGCAGGTGGATGGCTGGGAAATATCACCCCAAACCACCGAGGTTTGCCTTGTTTCTGTCCAAACCCATTAACCGTCTCTGTCTTCTCCTGAAAACTCTCTTAAGATTCAGCCCATATTCCCGGAGAAGTCCACAGTGGGCTCACTCAAAGGTCAGCCCGCGCTGAGTTGAAATGCAGCCCAAGCTTGCCTGAAACACAGCCAAGCTCCTCCAAAAGGCTTGCAAACCTGGCCCAAGTTTCGGGTTGCTAATCCAAATCTCGCTGGGTTTCAGGTTTGGCTGAGCTCGACACATAAATACAGCCTCCGGCTGCGGCCCTCACTTCCATTGGCTGGCCTTTCAGGGTGACAGGGCAGCAGCAAGCGCAGGACTCCCTGCCAGCCTGGCTCTAAAGAAAGGGCGGGTGGAAACTGGGGTGGGCAGCCGGCACCAGGCTTTTAAGCAGAAACCCCAGGCCTGTAGCAGGCCTTAAATACGAGTGGATCCGGGAATCAGAATGGCCTGCTCCTTCCCTGAGCAAAGCCCATTGTTGTCCCCACCCTAAGGCAATCTGCTAGCTTTGCCTCCCAGCCCCATCGGGTCGGCCTCCGCCGGATTATTGCTGTGCCAGAGAGGAAAGGAACTCAGTGCATTTCATCTCGTCCCGCTGCTCGTGGTGCAAAACAAAATGCAATGCTCCAGCCCAAAACCTGTTGAACTGTTGAAGGGGCCAGCCGTTTTGAGGGCTTTAAGGAAATTCACAGGGTAAAAGCAATGGGAGTTTTGCCATTGACTTCAACTGGGCCAGCATTTCACCCCTGGAATTTAAGGTGTCCTGCCATTTCCACTAGGTGTCACTTAAGGACAGACAGTTAGCCTATTTCATTGATATTTAACCCCTTCTTTGCAAATTGGACACCATTAAATTAGGCTTGAATAAAGACTGGGAGTGGATGGGCCATTACACAAAGTAAAACTGTTTCCCCTTGCTTATTTCCCCCCCCTACAGTTCATCATATCTCCTTGTCAATTGGTGGAAATGGGCCATTTTCATTACCACTACAAACAGTTCTTTTTCTCTCCTGCTGATAAAAGCTCACCTTAACTGATCACTCTCCTTATAGTGTGTATGGTAACACCCATTGTTTCATGTTCTCTGTGTATATATATCTCTTCCTACTGTATTTTCCACTCCATGCATCCGATGAAGTGGGCTGTAGCCCACGAAAGCTTATGTTCAATTAATTTTTTTAGTCTCTAAGGTGCCACAAGTACTCTTGTTCTTTTAACCCCTTCTTGACTCTCAGTCTTATCCTAACCTCAAAGGGGAGGCTTAGGCGACTGGGTGGGGGATATCCGGGTCTTTCCCATCTCTGACTTGTCCAGTTTACATGTGTGTATGCTGCAGGTTTTGCCAGGTTTGCTGTTTGCATGGCGATGCTGCGAACTGCACCGACGCAGCCCTATAATTGCAGAGAACGACAGAAGGAATGGTGAGGCGAGGTTGCGACTGCCCCTGCGTGACATTAGGGACATTTAGAGTCACTGCTTTTAAAACCCGGGTCATATTTTTTATTTGTCAACTTCATACATAGTTGGACACTCTTTGACGGCAGGGACCATCTTTTATTGTTCTGTATTTGTACACAACAGGGCTGCCCAGAGGGGGGGGCAAGTGGGACAATTTGCCCCAGGCCCCGGGCCCCGCAGGGGCCCCTGCGAGCCCTGGCCTGGCGGCGGTCCGGGTCTTCGGCGGCATTTCGGCGGTGGGGGGCCCTTCAGTCGCTCCGGGTCTTCGGTGGCATTTCGGCGGGGGGTCCTTCAGTGCTGCCAAAGACGCGGAGCGACTGAAGGGCCCCCCGCCGCCAAAATGCCGCCGAAGACCCGGACCGCCGCTGCGTGAGTACAAGCGCCGCAGCTCCCCTGCTTTGCCCCAGACCCCCTGAATCCTCTGGGCAGCCCTGGTACACAATGGGGTCCTGTCCCAGGCCTGGAGCT